ATTCCTAAAATTTCGCCTGACAAGGGTAACACCGCACAAGTATATGTAAAAGAAAATAAAGTAATAACTCGAAAAGTTCAAATGTGTTAAAAAGGAATAACAATATTTTATATCTGGTTTCTAAATACAGGACTGCGTCTTTCTCCCAACCCGCTATATGGATTCGTGACACTTTGTGTTTGTTAGGCGAGTCTTAACATCCCAAGTTGTTTGTTCTTTAAGAAACTGGTTCTTGGTGTATCTTCAGGCGATATTCGTAAAACTTGTTTTGATGGTGTGAGTCTAAGTCGTTCTTCAAAAATAAATTGTTCTTGGTTAGAAGTTGAGGTCGTGATTGCGTGGATATCTTTCAGTCAGGTTCCTGCGAGGCGGGTCTTCAGAGCTCTCAGCTCAACTGCCAACTGAAACTGATTGCCTGTCTGTCTCCAACCCCAACTGCGAACTTCACTGCGAACTCAACTTGCTGCGACTCTGCTTATATGGATGCCGACCAGAACCGGGGTGGGCTTGTCGGGGTTTGAGGTTCCTTGATAATTCTATATCCACAATCCACTTCTTTGTTTTCGGTCAGGAAAATTTTTTATTTTCCATTTTTGGAAGTCCTACCAGATTCTTCCTTTTTCATATGGGTATCTCACCCAATCCCTTCAGGGGGCGTCAACAGGTTTCCCCTCTCTCTCACAGTGGCATCTCACCGAGCCCTTCAGGGTGCGTCAACAGGCCTCCCCTCCTTCTTCACATGATTACCTTCGCCTAACGCTCACGCCACCATTCAGCCAATGGGCGCTCAGCGGCGTGGGTGTGGCTAGACTAGCCTCGGTTTAAAAAAATCTTACTCAAAGAAAAAAAATTATCTTCTTTTTTTTTCTTTTTCTTTTCTTTCTTTCTTTCCTTCTGCCCGACAACAAACCAATACGACCTGTAGTGGGATCCCTTAATCTCAATTTTATCTGAATGTCACCTGGAATTCGTCACCCGAGACCTTCGCCAAACAAGTGGGTGGTCAATTGGACGTACTGCGCTACAGCCAATTATTCGTTTCGATAAAATAATTTTCTCATCATAGCCAGCTCCTGGCACAAAACAGGTGCCTTTTCTAAACGACATCTCTGTAGATAGCTAATGGGTCAATCTTTTCTTCCTGGTGGTCGAGCGGACATTTTTTCCGCGACCCAGTGCATGACCTAATTAATATTATCTATCAGTTTCTGTTTCGTAGGCCACCTGACCGACCTGAAATTTTCCTTATTGTCATGGGCAGATAGCTATATCTTATTCGGTGCGTCGTCATAAATCAAATTAAATCCGGTGCCTTACTCTCTTCGCTAATGAAAATAAAATCTTTCCACTTTTCTTTGTTAAAAAAAATAACATAGCTTAGTGTCCTTTTCGTGATGGCTTCTTATCACCTAAATTTAATTCTCGCCTTTTCTTTTTTTTCTTTCTTTCTCGCAACCCTAAATAGTGTCACAAACCCATTGAGGTTGATATGCCGTAAAACAAAATAAATCAAACCAATCTAAACCAAAGAATACATATTCTATTCATACGAATCTATCCTAAAAATGTCCTCGGCATCAAATAGCCTATTAAGGTCGATATGCCGTAAAACAAAATAAACAAATCCAAACAATTTTCTGTCCTTTGTAGCTCTTAATAAATTTGGTCTTGTTGTTATTTCTATTAAACCTTGTTTCGCCATCCATTTATTCAGTATCGCTAGGTAGTTTTTTGCGTTGTTCCTCTGTTCCTCCTGCCTTCATTCACTCGTGTGAGGAGCAAAATTCCCCAAGCTCTCATACCTCATTATGTGCACAAGAAACGTCAACTGTCACTGCTGAATGTTAAGTATCAGTATGTTTTGGCTTCCATTTTCTCTAAAACATCGCCATTACTGATATGTAGAACCACATTTCTCGATAGTAAATTAGATTTATTTACTTTATTTACACTCGGACTATCTTTTTTTTTTATCTTCCCATCATTTCAGCATTTACACCCACCGACCATTATCAGGTGCTGGTCGATCATTGTTACCAACGTTTTAATCCCAAAGGCTATTGGATTCAATCCTTTCAACTCAGTGTAATAAGGGCGAGTAATAAATGAGTAATACTAAATTTGATGTAGGGTAGAGTAAAGAATTCCGTCTCGGATTGAGGAATCGGAGAGCCGAGTTCAGATTCCAATTGATTTCATTACATTATTTTACGAAGTAATATCATTGTTTATTTCTTTTTATTTATCATTCATTTTTAAAGATTATTAAGATTATTTAAAACCACTAATTATTTTTACATTGTAACAATTATTTTTTTGTGGGGGAATAATTGTAAAACCTTTAAAGTCCAACAAATAACAGCATTTCTTCATTGGGGACATGTATTTAAATGCAACTATTAATCCTAGTTTGAAAAATTGTGCATTTATTTTATTGATTGATTATTTTTTCTACGGCTTATCAACACTTTTAAGGTTATTAAAAGGTATAAAACATTTAAAAGTTTTATGGAAGATAATAATGGTTTAGTGATAGAAGTCTTACATAATTAATCCATAGCCGGCGTAGAAAAGATGATCCAAAACCTATTTGCGTGTAAGTGAAATTAACGAAACCAACAGCCATTATCCATTACACCACCCAAAAATCCAAGCTTACATCACCTATTACTTATCCACAAGCATTACTGACCAGGCACTGATCATCTTCGACTTTGGTTAATTTCGGTGATCGTATGGGAGCTGGTGTTTCAATGTAATATGCCGGTAAACCTAATAATAACTTAAATAACACTTAGAGTTACAAGAAAACACACGGAAGGCTGGGGAATGCATCGGCCGAAACAAAGTAATTAAAATTATGAAAATGAAGAATACTAGTCAGAAAAATTGATACAATAAATCTAGTACTTTTTGCATGAATTGTAGAAAGGATCGACGCGTACTATTCTAGACCCCCACCCCGATCGAGGTGAGTGTAAACTTGATTGAGGTACCCGAGAATAGCTTTGTGACCTTCACTATCTTCCTACCTACATTTATATACGTTACAAATTAAACTCATCACAGCTATTAAAAGATAAAAGATTTACTATTTACATTGTTCGGACTATCATCCTCATCTTTGTTGCCATATTTATCACAACGTTTCGGCCGTTGTACGCTCCGGCCTTCTTCAGTTGGTTGGAATGTCGAACTGAACCCTTTATCCCGCTCGCTGGGGTAGATTGTTCTAGTTCCACGTGCCATGGCTAATGGCTATCAGTTATCAGTTAATCACCCACTTCACGTTCTCCACCGCCTTAACCAGGTATTGAACTCACACTCTTTGGGTCCTTTGGATGAGGGATTTTTGCGGATATTGATGACATTCTTTTTTATTTTTCGTCCATATGTGAATTTATATCAGTTCAGTTATATGCCATGTGTGATACACGTTTAGGCGATCATGTATCTTTCGATACATGACTGACGAGGCAGAATTTTTTCCCGTGGTAGGTTGCCATTTCTTCCTGCGGTAGACCGGTTTCCATCCAAGGCTATAGAAACCGGTCTGTCCTGCTATTTACCCATAGCTGTGGGGGGGGGAAAAGAGGATTCATATCTTTCCCAAAGGTGTTAGCACGTAAGTGAATGTAATTGATTCAACTGGAATTCGAACTCGGCTCTCCGATTCCTCAATTCGAGCCGCTATCCATTACTCCACCGTACTTCAATCTATTTGCTTAACCTAAACTATATAAAATTCATTATTTTTTTAGTCTTAACGTTGAAGGTATTAAAATTCATCAACTTTTTAACAAGAAAAATCTCAGACTAATGTAAAAAACTTACCACAAAACATTGCTGATTTATTCAAGATGGTATGATCTATTATGACATGTCTATAATTTTTATTTAGATACATTGTATTTACTTTCAATTCTTCGACTTAAATCGTTTACCTATATTGCATATAATACATTCTTGGGTAAAATTAGGTTATAATAAAATTTATATTTTATATAAATACTACCTTATGAAAAACGTATTAGATTGGGAGACCTTATATCATAGATTCAGTGGGAAGAACGAGACCCTTGCACCGGCCCTGAGAGAAACTACAAGAAAGATACCGCTCTAAACTCTGTGATCAAAATAAAAAAGAAAAGGATATTTCTTCAGAGAGTTAATGCAATAAAGCTAAATGAAAGATAGGAATTAAAATGGAAAGAATTAATGTTGAGCCATCGTCGGAGGAATGGAGAAAACGTTTTAAATATTTAACGAAGCCACTACACGGGAACATATAAACAGAGGAAAATGTCTTCGACGCTGATTTAAATCATACCTGTCGAAAGAGTGTTGCTCATAGATTAAAAGAAAACACCTGTTGTACCAATTCTAATTTGTATTTCATGACAACTGCTTCTATATTAATGGAGGTGTAAGGAACCATTAAAAGCACTATCAAAGTTGGAGAAAAATTTATGAGCTCTGGCGTTTATAACAATAGTAATGTTGTGATTGTGTACTGAGCGTGGGGTGATGCTTACAGTCTCATCGCATAAGTCAACTGTTAATACAGTGATTTCGATCGTCAATAATTGTCTTCCTTCCGCGGCCTTCTCTACTTGAGTTCGATCTTCACTGGGTGGGAGATTATAGCAAAACAAAAGTTAAAAGAAAATAACAGGTCTCATAAAAGACCTCCTCGATAGCACGAAAAAAAAGAACGATATATATATATATATATATATATATATATATATATATATATATATATATTATTCTACATTTAACATCATCATTTGATAAGACACCAGAGGTGTTGAAACAAAATGGCTATTTTTGTAGTGATTTTATAACATATGTACGTTATAAATTTTAAATAAATAATTACATATATATATATATATATATATATATATATATATAAGAATAATGAAAAGTAAACGCAAATTAATAATGAAAATAAATGGTAGCCAAGTAGATGAAGGTAAAAAGCAAAATATTTAGGTTCATAAAAAGAAAGAAAAGTGGGAAAAAAAGAACGGAAAGAAAGAAAGAAAGAAAGAAAGAAGGAAAGAAGAAAGAAAAGAAAGATTGAAACTGTGAACAAAAGAAATATCTAAACTTAAAAGACAAAAACGGGAACACCAAAAAAGACAAAAGAAAGAAAGAAAATATGAACAAAAAATATCTATTCTAGATAAAATGTGAACGAAAAAATATCTAAAATGAAAAGAAAAGAACGGGAAAACCAAAAGAGAAAAAAAGAAAGACAGAAAGAAAATGTGAATGAAATAATTTTTTAGAATATAAAGAAAAGAAGGAAAAAATCAAAAAAGAAAGAAGAAAGAAATAAAGTGTGTACGAAAGTAATAAGTAGAATGAAATTAAAAGAACGAGAAAATCAAGAATAAAAAAAAGAAAGAAAAAATGTGAATGAAAGGAAAAATGAAGAAATGAATGAAAAAAGAAAGAAAGACATTGTAAACGGAAAAAATATCAAAAATGAAAGGAAAAAGAACGGGAAACGAAAAGAAAGAAAGAAAGAAACTGTGGACGAAAGTTTTATCTAGAATGAAAGGAAAAGAAGTGCAAACCCAAAGAAAGAAAAAAAGAAATAAAGAACTGGTAAATAAAAATAATGCTAACAAAAGAGAAAGAAAGAAAATGCTATCGAATGAAATATCTACGATGTAAGAAAAAGAGCAAGAAAGAAAGAAAGAAAACAT